CACGTAGTCAAATGCCTTTGCATAATCAATGAAACACAGATAGACATTCTTCTGGTATTCTCTGCTTTCAGCTAAGATCCATCCAACATGGAAACTATGTAATCTGTGATCTGATAAACCAAGTAGTTGTAAAGGGATTAAGGGAGAAACAACATCCCATCACAGCCTGCATCTGATGTAAGGGAAGTGTCCTTTATCTCACTCTTTCTAAGAGAGGACAATGAGCTGAGAAGGGGGTCAAGGGAGTGCTTGCTGCCACCTGGAAAGGATTCCTGGGCATGGAGTGCACTGTTTTGCACCTCAGCTGACATGTGAGGAAGTTCCTTAACACCTGGAAAGGTAAGACATAGGGATTGCCAAGGAATGTTGGGTTTGCAGATGCTGAGAAAACCAGGATTTTCCTCCTCAACAAGGAGAGAGCCGACTCCCCAGAAGGTGGCACCTCACACTTGGACTTCCAGCATCCTAAACTGCAGGGGATCACTCTTCTGTTGAAGCCAGCAGCCTGTGGTATCACCACTGCAGGGCCTGAGATTACCTAGACAGGGACCTTAGGTCTTAGAGATGTTAGGACTTGTCAGCTGCCATTGTGTCTGCTGACCCCACACACAACAGAAGGAAATGCTGCCCAGCCCTGTGCTGTTACCATGGGGGCCTGCACACCTGACTGCTGGGGCCTGCTCACCTGACTGCTGGGGCCTGCACACCTGACTGCTGGGGCCCATGGGCTTCACAATGGGCCTGCAGACCTGACAGCTGGGGCCTACACACCTGACAGCTGGGGCCTGCACACCTGACTGCTGGGGCCTGCACACCTGATTGCTGGGGCCCATGGGCTTCACAATGGGCCTGCAGACCTGACAGCTGGGGCCTACATGGGCTTCACAATGGGCCTGCAGACCTGACTGCTGGGGCCTACACACCTGACTGCTGGTGCCCATGGACTCCTCAATAACTAGTTTTTGGAAGCAGACTGGCAAGGCTGTCCTCTTAGCGGGTCTTAGTCTGGAAGTTCTTCCAAAACCTGTCTGGTACCAGATTACCTACTACCCACTGTGCTTATGTTTGTTCTGGTTCATGATTCTGTGTGGGGAAACTGAACTAGCCAACAGGATTTCCAATGCCATATATTTTTATGGAAGCAGACGGCCACATCTTAGTCACCAAAGTGGACTAGTGGACAGGTGACACTGCATGAGGAGTGTGGACCAGTGGTTGAACCTAGGTTTCCTCTGTGGAGAGTGAGTCACACCATCTAAAAAGTGTCAGTGCCACACGCTGCTTGGAATGTCCTTCCCCAGCACAGCCTCAAAACCAGAGATGCATCCAGACCCATCCTGGATCTGCCTTTCAAGTATCCCATACAACCATTTTTTCTCAAAACCTGTGAAATGTAGAATTTTTTTCTCCTTCCAGGATCTCTCATTACTCTTCATTGCTGGCATAGACCAAGAAAGTGGGCCTGCTGACCCAAATATGGCCTCTCTGGTTATTCAAACCCACCAGCTGCTCCAGGGGAGAAAAGTGGCCACTCTCCTTCCATGTGATTGACAACCTCTGAAGACCCACTGAATGATTGGCTGGGGGCTGGTCCCAACTCAACAGATAAGAACGAAGACTCCACAGTGGAATGGACTGCGGGGGGAGGGATTATATAACAATGAAAGAATTTTTATTTTACTTTTCAAAGAGCGAACTCGGGGTTGGGGGGAGGTTGGGCAGGGAGAAAAGTGCAACAGTGAATGAATGGAAAGCCAAAGTCTCTGTAAACTTTCACTAAAATTAATAAAAAATAACAATAATAAAACATTTTTTTAAAGTGGGAAAAAAATAAAAAGATATCTCCACTGCTGTCCTCTCTCCCAGCTCATGCACCACTATGATCAATGCAAATCCCAGTCTCTCCCCTTGGTGTCAGTGTTCTCTTTGGTAAAGACAAGTCCGAGAGCACTGCTCCTCTCCTCACTGTCAAGGTCATGGCTACACAAACTTGTTTCCCATCTAGTGAGTGTCTGACAGGGCTTGTCCTCATTGGCTTCTCCTCTCACTTGCAGGGCTCAGCTGTGGCTGTAGGCTGTTCCCTTCTTGGCCCTTCGTTCGTGTCTTCCTCATGCTGGAAAGCCTCCCCTTCCTTCATGTCCTGCCCCCTCCTCTTCAGGACCTTGCCACGTGATCATTGGTCATTGCTGCCTCCTTGCCCCGCCTTTGGGCCTTAGCTACCTCTCCCTGTCCATTCCAGGCAGTGAAGTTCCCTGGGAAGACCAGTAACTCCAGGACAGATGGTCAATGCTGTCTGCACCATGTCTTAGCATGGGAACTGGGCAGGCGGCTCACCGGCTCTGTGCCTTGGGCTCCTCACTGTTGAAATGGAGACGTTAGTGGTGGTCCCAGCTCTGGAGGGCACTAGAAGGAGTGAGACGTTTCAATTATGGTCCTGAACTTCACCTGGGACATGGGCACCAGGATCAAGATGAGGCGTTCTTATGATTCTAATGACTGAGTCACTCACTGCTTTAACAAAACAAACAGCACAACCCTTGAGGGAGGCTGATGAGGTGCCATCCTGCAGCTCATCTGCACGACTGCTGGGATGTGGCAGATGCTTAGGGACCACGTCCTGAGTGCGTGAGGACACACAGACAGGAAGAAGTGACGTACAGGGTTGTGTCCTGTATGTGTGTCAGAGCTGGTTTGAAGACCAGCAGCAGCACGGAGCTTAGCAGGTACATTATGCTAGTGGGACCTGGGACGAGGAACAGGGCACTGACACGTCTACTGCTCAGTGTTGTTTGCTTGCTGTACAGTCAAGAACCCTCCAGCCCTGCAAGGTGTCACAGTGTGGTTCATTAACAGGCGGCTGTCAGGAAGTGGACATTGAGGGTGAATGGTGACTCTCAGAGGGACACATCTGCCTTTCTCTCAGAGCAACTGTGAGCCAGTGACCCGGGAGGAGACGAAGCAGAGACACTGAGATTCTGCTGCAAGAACAAATGCCCTTGGAGCCTTGGTCACCAATGAGGGTGGTGAGTGGGACAGAGCGGCCATCGGTGTGGTCTGTGAGGGTGACAGAGAGGCCATTGGTGTGGTCAGTGAAGGTGACAGAGCAGTCACCAGTGTGGTCAGTGAGGGTGATGAGGGTGATGGAGAATCCATTGGTGTGGTCACCACTGCAGTGAGGGTGGTGAGGGCAACAGAGAGACCATCGGTGTGGGGAGGAAAACGCCAAGGTCCAGTGCACTTGCCCCATCTCTGGGCTCACCAAGGAGTGGCTCCTGGGAAAACCCTACACAGAGGGACACTTGCACGAGGCATTGCCGCATCGCTGCCCGGGCTACTCTGTTTCCCCGAGCGAGGGCAGCGCTCATCTGTTGCCCTCTCAGGTGGGTATCCCTCAGCACTGTGGGACAATGAGGGGGTAGTCTGGGTGACCATGGCCCTGTGTGGGCTTACTCACACTTCAGCTCCAGCTTGATGAAGTCCGTGTTCCCCAGGTTCTCCAGGAACACACCGCGTGGGATAAGGGTTTTGAAGTAGAAGGAGATGTCAGCACTGGTTTCCCCTTGGAAGGTGGAGAAGTGCAGATGTGAGGAGGGGTCTGGAAAGGAGGCAGCATTCCAGTAGTTTCCTGCAGGAAGAAACACAAGGAGAATTGATGCCTGATCACGGCAGCAGCATAGAAATGACCATTTCAAGGATTTTGAGGAAATGTTATTGGAAAGAAGCCCAACTCTTCTCAACCTACTGAAAACCGCCTGTTGAATCCCCACAGAGCTGTCTGAGCTTCTAGAACGGGTCATGTGTGCACATCAGCCACAAGGCAGTAGGGTGCTGCCAGGCAGACAGCAGGGGCTCTGAGAGTTAACTGGGTAGAGAGTCCTGGGGAGATGACATGGGGGTGTGGAATGTGGACAGAGGTTCTCTCTGGTAAAATGAGGGCAGTAGTGAGTGCCTGGCAGGAGAGGGGAAAACATTGGTTTGGGATTCTGCCTCAGGACACACTGTTTGCACCCAGATATCCACGAAGACCAAGGAATGGTGGTTGACCACCTGAGCAGGTTTTCTCCCCCTGCCCAGTCCTGGGAAGGGGGGGGTCACATAAGGACCATCTCCCCAAAGGGTCCTTCAGGGCTGCCTTGTGGTGAGGAGAGCAGCTGTACCACCCCAGAGCCCTCATTCTGCTTCTACTCTTGGAGTCTTGGGGAAGAATAACTGGGTGCCCCTCACCTGCTCCCCCTAACATGTGTACACACACATATGCACATGTCTTTACACATACACTCTGCCCACCACACACACACACACACCCTCACACGTGCACACACCCTGACCCAGGTACAAATACACGTCCTCACACATGCTCACGCCCACCATGCACAAACACACAAGTCTTCACATCTACACTACACTCACAACGCACACACATACACACACACGTCCTCACATGTGCACATACCTTGACCCATGCACACATGCACACACATACATGTCCTCACCCATGCACACGCCCACCATGCACAAGTCCTCACATATACACTCTGCCCACAATGCACACACACATTCCCACACATGCACTCATGCCGACTCATGCACACATGCACTCTTCACACATACATACACACGTCTTCACACACTCACATACATCCTCACATGTGCACACACCCTGACCCATGCACACACACGTCCTCACATGTGCACACTCCCTGACCCATGCACACATGCACATGTCCTCATAAGTGCACATGCCCACCATGCACACTTCCTCATAATGCACATGACCATTATGCACACATGCTAACATGTCCTCACACATACACACTCCCTGATACATCCACACACACACACGTCCTCATACATGCACATGCCCACCATGCACACTTCCTCATAATGCACATGACCATTATGCACACATGCTAACATGTCCTCACACATACACACTCCCTGATACATCCACACACACACACGTCCTCATACATGCACATGCCCACCATGCACACACTTACATGTCCTCACATGTGTACATGATCACCACATACACGTACACACATGCACGCACACACGTCCTCACATATGCTCATATCCCAACATGTGTACACACTATGCCCCCCTACACATACCCTTATTTTCTTTCTCCACTCTCCCACTCCCCCATTGTGGGATGGAGTTCCAGTCATCCCAGGAGAAAGCTACTTGCAGGTTGAGTTAAAGTCCCTATAGTGGTCACTCGGTCTCCACCAGCACTGAGGACCAGTAATCAACAATGAGACTGAGAGCTGTTCTCTCATTACATCACTAGGGAAACAATTCCTTTCTAACATTTCTGAGAGCATCTAAAAGCAGAGCTAGTCACCCTGACATGCCATCACACTGCCAGGAAAGTGTGAGGATTTACTGCTCAGTCGCACTCTCATGTTGACATTGGTTAATACACCATCTTTACTTCCAGAACATGCTGCACAGGCAAAACTCTCTCCATTAGTTCCAAGTCACACACAGACTGTATTTTCCTTTCCTTTCCACTGGAAACACACTGTACTTTATTAACTTCAAGGAAGACACAGGGAGGTGCAGAGCTCAGATTTGTTCACAGGATTTTTTTTTTATTTTTAGGAATTATAGATGACTGGATGGCACTTAACAACAACTACTCATAAATGTCATTAATTTCAAGTGGACTTCTATGCTGAAAGTGCAATTATAAATTAAACATACACTATTGTTCTATAAGCACACATTATTGTCAGATGTTCAAGGTGGATTTAGAAGAGGCCACTGCACCAGGGATATCATTGCTGATGTCAGGGGGATCCTGGCAGAAAGTAAAGAATACCAGAAGAATGCCTATTTTTATTTTATTGACTATGCAAAGGGATTTAACTGTGTGGATCATAAAAATTCTCAAAAGCACAGAAAAGAATGGGAATTCCAGAACACTTACTTTTGTTTGTGTGAAACCTACACCTAGATCAAGACGGTATTGTGTGAAAAGAACAAAGGAACACCACATGGTTTAAAATTAGGAACAAAGGAACACAACATGGTTTAAAATTAGGAAAGGTGTGCATCAGGGTTTTCCATACCTATTAAATCTGTATGCCGAGTAAATTATTCAAGAAGCTGGGCTCTATGTAGAACAATAAGGCTTTAAAATTGGAGGAAGATTCATCAGTTATCCTTATGCAGATGACATAGTCTCGCTTGCTGAAAGTGAAGGGGACTTGAAATGTTTGCTACAAAAAGTTAAACACTGCAGCCTTCAATAACAATTACATTTAAACATCAATAAAACAAAAATCTTGACCACTGGACTGATAGACAACATCATGATGGAGAAAAGTTTGAAACTGCCTACGACTTCATCTTACTTAGATCCACAATCAATACACTTGGTACCAGGAGATCAGAAGACATACTGCACTGGGGAAGTCTGAATTAAGGGACCTCTCCAAATTACTGAAGAGTTTTCAGCCCCTGCTGCACATGTCAGCAGCAGCCATAGATCAGTTTCAGTCTATTAACCAGGTACCTGTATTAAAAAGTTTTTAGTGTGGCCTGGACTGCTCTCTTATCTGGAGCACTACACCAAGGCCCTGCTGCCTGGAGGTCCCTCAACACTTCTGCCTGTAGACATTGGTCCCTCCAGCTGGTGGCCCTGGCCCCACCACTTAGATTCCCACATCTGCCACCTGGACAACCTGGCCCCACTGCCTAGAGGACCTGCCCTTGCAGCCCTGCCCCTGAGATGATCCTTCCTACCACTTGGAAGCCCATTCCCACTGCCTGGAAGCCCAGCTCCACTGCCTGGAGGACCTAGCCCTACTGCCTGGACACCCCACTGTCTGGAGGATGACCTGTCACCACCTCTCTGAACTGTGCCAGGGAAAGCAATATCACAGGTGATTCCATTTCCTCTCCCTTCCCAGAGCTTGAGATACCTTTAGCCCTGGGCACCTTGTACCCACCTAGCTTAGCTACAGAAGTTGCCTGACAGGGAAGACTGCTAACTCACAGGCCATATCTCTCCCCAACAGAAGCAAGTCTTCCCTTGAGTCAAAAGCTCAGAGAGAAAGTCAGGCAGGGTAGCTGCCTTGCCCTCCACTGGAGCAGTGACTTCCTGAGCCAAGGTTTTCAAACCAAGAGCCTGCTAAGGCCTCAGGCATGAAAAACTCTACCACAGCAATATTAAAAAAGAAGAAGACTATCTTAAACCCTACACAAACCCAAAACAAAGTGTCACCCCCAAAAGTGACACCGTATCAACGGATTTCCTGAAGCCTGTAAGTCTGATGGAACTTTCTGGCACAGAATTCAAAAGAACAATGATTGAATATTTTCAATGGGTTAAAGACAAACTTGAAGAATTATTGGACTCTGCAAACAAAACCCAAGAGGAACTTAAAAAAACCAATCCAAGACAATGCAGAGAAAACAAATGAGGCATTAGAGGTTCTGGGAAAACAAAAACTACAATCCAGAATATGAGGACCAATGCTCAGATGCCGTTAACATGTTGGAGGGACATATTAACAGAGTTGAAGAGATGGAACACAGAACCAGTAAACAGAAGATAGAATGGTCACCACTGATCTGATAGAACAAAAAGCAGAATTAAAAAGGAAGGAAAAAGAAGAAAGCCTAAGAATAACGTTGGACACCATCAAGAGGAATAACACGTGCATAATTGGAATTCCAGAACAGGAAGAAGAAAGTAAAGGCACTGAAAAAGTTGTGGGAAAATTACTAAAAGAAAACTTTTCAGGCATAATGAAGAATGAGAGAATATATATATTCAAGAAGCTAAGCAAACACCATATAGAATAGACCCCCAAAGAAAAACACCAAGGCATATCATAGTCAAATTTGCCAAAACCAAAGATAAGGAGAGAATTTTGAAAGCAGCTAGGGAGAAACAAAGAGTGACCTACAAGGGAGAACAAATAAGATCCAAGTGCTGGTTTCTCAGCAGAAACCACATGAGCAAGAAGACAGTAGAATGACATATATCAAACACTCAAAAATTACAACTATCAACCAAGAATACTGTACCCAGCAAAACTGTCCATAAAATATGAAGGAGAAATCAAGATATTCTCAGAAAAGCAGAACCTAAAGGAGTTTGTAAAAACAAAACCCACATTGCAGGAAACACTGACAGATGTTCTTACAGATGTGACTCAGAAAGCAGGATGGAGCTAAGTAACCAAAAAGAACACCAACAAGAACTCAACAAAATGATAGCAATAAAACCTAGTCTCTCAATAATTGCACTGAATGTGAATGGCTTAAGTGCACCACTGAAGAGAAAGAGTAGCAGATTAGATAGAAAAACAAAACCTGCAAAATGTTATCTACAAGAGTCACACCAGAAAAGTGAAGATAAAGACTAAAAATAAAAGGGCGGGGGAAAAAAAAACAACCAAATGAATGGCAATGGAAAAAAAGTAGAAGTAGTGATAGTAATCTCTGATAAAATAGATTTCGATGCAAAAACCATCACAAAGGTCACTACGTAATGTTTAAAGGGTCAACAGACCAAGAGGCTATAACAACAATAAATATTCATGCACCAAATGATAGAGCTACAAAATATACAAAGCAAATATTAAAAGAACTGAAAAAAGAAATAGA